GCAGCAAATGTTGCCTGCGAATTTTTATTGCCCGAGAAGTCGAAAGTGCGCTACGGACGAGTATATAGAAATTTCAATGAATGGTGCCAGAACAAAAATACTGGTGTTTCTGAAATATCACTGCTAGCATATTTCATGGAGATATCAAGAACTTTAAAGTCACCGGCGAGTTTGTGGAGTGAATACTCAATGATTAAGTAATTATTTTAATAGAGGAGAACGTGTGTATATCAAAATACCGCAAGCTGAGAGCATTTTTTAAACGTAAGAATGGCGGCTATACACCTAAAAAGTCAAACGTTTTTACAAGAGAACAAGTCAACGATTTTCTCGTTCAGGCACCCGATAATACATATTTGCTAATGAATGTAGTGACGGTTTTAAGCATTGCAGGAGCATGCCGTACTGATGAGTTATGTAAACTTAATTTGGACGTCATTTTCAAAAATTTCGATGACATTATTGTAGTTACAATACCAGATTCTAAAAATAGTAACGTACGTTTACAATTACTTCTCGTCTGTGTTCTGTTTCTCACCTAGAAATTCTCAAGAAATATATCAAGATTAGATTGGAAATTAAAACTAAAATTTCAATCTTTTTTATGCGCCATCAATCAAGTAGATGTTACAACCAACCAATTCTATGATTCCTAATAAGATTGCACAGTTTTTGAAACTAGAACATCCTGAAACATATACAGGTCAGTCATTCCGAAAAACATCGGCAACGTTACTGGCTAATGCAGAAGTTGACGTATTAGCAATGAAAGGACATGGTGGGTGGAAATCATCCACAATTGCAGAAAGTTATGTTGCTGACAGTTTATGTAACAAAAATGAAATAGCCAATAGGATTTTTTACAATGCCACTTCAACTCCATGTTCTAGTAGTATGTACGTCGCATCATGGATCAGTCAGATAATATTGGGCCTTCGGTGACTGAAATGGAGCGGTCAAATCATTTTGAGGAAAATGTGACAATTAGTAAACGCAAAGGGAATAATTATTCACATTTCTACTGTAAAATCCACTTACCTTCTTAAAAACAATGTATTAATAGTTTATTTACTATAGTGGGAGCAAATAAAATCTATTTTTCCTATAATTTATATATAATTTTAAACATAATTCAAAAAAATGTTACGCGCAATTTTATTTTCAAATGTTACTTTCTCTCAGATTTACATCCTACGTTTATATTTTTTGTTATATTTAATATACGCTCTTCGAAAAGCCTACCTTTTTATATTTAAGTAAAGATTACCGCTATGACAAAGGTTTTTTCAGGTTATTTCCAGTTTTTTATGCTTAACAATAACGCGGAATGTTAATTGTTTTATATTAAGTTAATTTAAGCTTTACACAGCTTAAGGTTATCATGTAGATATTCTTTCTCGGTAATTTAATAATAATTAACATCGATACTGATTGCTTTATTGTCATTTTTTCATAGGTTTAAGTAATCGATGAGGCATGAAAACTTATCGTTTTAGTTGGTAATTTTGTGAATTTATATTTCCGAACATGATTCCTTGTTGCTCGATATAGCTATTGCGAATTACTGACAAAAAATGTATATAGCCTATCATCAATTTTGGACACAATTATTATTTTTTGCACATCCTTGCGGTGATTCAGAACATACGTATTTCTGTATAAGCTTCACTTTCACTTTTGTTGAAAATAACGACAATTTTCGGAACTATTTTTTAATAGCTGCTTTAAAGGGACAAAACGTCGCTTGGTGTAAACAGGGCTTCAGAGAAATATTTGACGATTTCATTTTATTATAGTACATATATGGAAGATTGGCAACTATGTATATAGTTTTTCTGACCCATAACATGTCATTAGTAATTCACCTTTCTCATTTTAGTTTTGGAAAGGGGGATTTCCAGCGTACGTCAATACGAACAACAACAACGTACGTGCAGTGCAACAAGTGGTACTCACTTGTAAAGTAATATTTAAATTCCTCGAAAGTAGAACAAGGATATATAGGTTTAAGAAGGTGGGCCTTACATAAATTTATTAAAAGTTGCAAATTGTTACTCTGTAAGTATTTTAACAAAACATTTTGTTTTATCAAATAAATCCAATGACGAGAGTATACCCGATTANTTTTATATTTAAGTAAAGATTACCGCTATGACAAAGGTTTTTTCAGGTTATTTCCAGTTTTTTATGCTTAACAATAACGCGGAATGTTAATTGTTTTATATTAAGTTAATTTAAGCTTTACACAGCTTAAGGTTATCATGTAGATATTCTTTCTCGGTAATTTAATAATAATTAACATCGATACTGATTGCTTTATTGTCATTTTTTCATAGGTTTAAGTAATCGATGAGGCATGAAAACTTATCGTTTTAGTTGGTAATTTTGTGAATTTATATTTCCGAACATGATTCCTTGTTGCTCGATATAGCTATTGCGAATTACTGACAAAAAATGTATATAGCCTATCATCAATTTTGGACACAATTATTATTTTTTGCACATCCTTGCGGTGATTCAGAACATACGTATTTCTGTATAAGCTTCACTTTCACTTTTGTTGAAAATAACGACAATTTTCGGAACTATTTTTTAATAGCTGCTTTAAAGGGACAAAACGTCGCTTGGTGTAAACAGGGCTTCAGAGAAATATTTGACGATTTCATTTTATTATAGTACATATATGGAAGATTGGCAACTATGTATATAGTTTTTCTGACCCATAACATGTCATTAGTAATTCACCTTTCTCATTTTAGTTTTGGAAAGGGGGATTTCCAGCGTACGTCAATACGAACAACAACAACGTACGTGCAGTGCAACAAGTGGTACTCACTTGTAAAGTAATATTTAAATTCCTCGAAAGTAGAACAAGGATATATAGGTTTAAGAAGGTGGGCCTTACATAAATTTATTAAAAGTTGCAAATTGTTACTCTGTAAGTATTTTAACAAAACATTTTGTTTTATCAAATAAATCCAATGACGAGAGTATACCCGATTACATAACTTGCACGATAAGCTATCTAAATTAGATTATTTCTGTATTCATTTTAAAGAAGTTATGATTACGAGTGTCAGCTGTCCTTAACCTGAATTAATTTATTTACCTGATTTTTCAAATCCAGTGACCTCTTGAAAACAAAATATAACGTCAACAGGGAATAGCCTCCTTGAGCAGGCAGCCAGCAATACACGACATTGTATTGAGTATTGTCTATCGCAGAAATACGTTTAATATAATATGAAGAATAATTATCATTTGGTACTTAATAACACAGGGTGTTTTCCAAAACACATTTATTAAATAAAATTAAATATACAATATGTACAGTAAACTGACGATTTTTACACATTTTTATTACAAAATATAAAGATCTGGTTAAACTGTTCTGGCAACAATTTCATTTAAATAACCTATTTAAGTACCTAAATCGCTACGGCGAAAGCTGGTCTACATTTCATTAAACTATTCTAAATGCCTACTATTATATGTACAAAAAGAGTCTATGAAGCTTTTTAAAATGTACACTAAATAAATACACATAAAATAAATAATTTTTTTGTTAAAAGCATAAAGAAAGGGTAAGGAATGAATTTGTGCGATACAATGATATGTCTTTGAAGTTTTTTCTCAGCGGAATTTGAACATTAATATCCTTAATTGAAGGGCCATGTGAAAATACATTATTCTTTAAGAGATCTCTACAGCTAATAGGCAACCAGCAATACATTTTTATAGATTTTGTTGCACAGTTTGTCTAAATATGAATCAATGCACAAGTAACAGACTCTCCTCCATTCTAACGCAGATTTTCTATAAAATGGAGTTAGTTTGAAACTCAAATTGTTGTAAAGAAATGTGTAATTTGCCGCATTTGAACAAACGATCGTAAATTACAAATCTCTTAACACCAAAATATTATGAGTTTTCAAACTAAGTCCAAATCTGCGTTAAAATGAGGTTAGTCTTTTATTTGTGCATTAATTCATATTTAGACAAACTGTGTAATAAAATCTATAAAAATGTACTGCTGGTTACCTATTTGCTTAGATCTTAACGTCAATCAATCAATTAATCAGTGATTTCCATTTTATAGAATCAGAACAAGGAACTAATATCAAACTAAAGTCTCACGTTTTGCTAGAAAATCATGTAAAATATTCATAAAAATATACAGGGTGATTTTCAAATAAAAACGATTTTAATGCATTTTATCTTTCACGAAAACGTAAAATGTTCCTCAAAGTTCATCAGTAAAAATTGTGTGGTTTCCAAGAACCTTAACATATTTCTGATTTTCCAAATACAAGAAATCAGTCCTGTCATGTCAGAATTAAAGCTTATTACACTAATCATGGTCAGCATACAAGTGTGCGTTTTGGTATTTTTCTTCCGACGGCATGTTACGTCCCAAATAGCACAAGTCACCCCTAGGATATCCAGTTAATGTCCTATTCACGTTGTATATCCTGGGACATCCACCGTACTGTCTTTGAGACATATGCTTTCTTATTTACCAAGTATCTTATTTTACGACATATCTATGGAGGATGTCCCATTATTAGTTTGGTAACATATATACTTTTTGGGATATTTCTGGGATGTCATAAATTTTGAAAGCAAATTTTATATTGTATAAAAAATTGTAATTAAATAATTTTATTGTTCAATTTAATTACACTTAATACGTAAATGAATATATGTCGCCCAGAGGATAACCTTCATAATACTACAGACATCCTCAAATTGAAGAAGTTAACATATAGTTCAAACTAAATGTTCCAGAGACATACAGTGGGATATCTTAAGCGTATCCTGATTTGTAAGATATAACCTGTATCTACACCAATGTTCAGACATCATCAGACTGTTCTAGGGATAGCATATAGTTTAAACCATATGTCCCTGGGATATGCAAGATATCTTCGGATGTCTGCCACGATATTCAGGACACCAGATAGTAGGTAACCGAAGAATATCTTTAGATTGGTTCTGTGCTATTTGGGATACGTCTTTGGTCACCTCACCGTTCTTGAAATTCCAAACATGCGCTCCGAAATGTCATGAGTTGCTTAAAATCCAAAACTGTAAGACCTAACCTAACCTTAAACTCTCCTCCACATCTATCAACGTAATAAGTTACTTTAAAAATGCTACAGTAAAACCTAAGCACAGTCTTGTAGTTCTACGAAAACCGTCCCTCCCCGAAACCTATCTGTTGACGGTGGAAAAGTTAAATTTGTTGCTGTTCGTGAAGTTCTGCCATTCGTCGCGGGTGAACAGCGGCGTGGCCCCCACTATCCTCGACCTGGGGTCGAACTCCCTGGCGGAGGCCTCGTTGTCGTTGTTCTTATTGGACAGGTACTGCCTCTGGTGCCGGATGTGCCTGCTGGAAGTTCCCAGCAGTCCCGGCAGCGCCGCCAGCCTTTCCCGCCGCTCCTTTTCCTCCAGCTGTTCGGCCAGCTCGAACCTCTTGTGCAGGTTGCAGGCGTGGATGCGCAGATGGGCGTCGTGGGGTGGCAGGGTGTAGTTTTCGGGGAACTCCAGAGTGCAGATGTCTATGGTTGGTAGCAGGTGTACATCACTATAAACGGTTGACGTTGAATTTCTTCCAAATAGCTTATTAATGCCGTGAAGTTCGTTTGTTTTCCTAGCGGCGTCAATGATGATGGTGGGTATTGGCTTGGGCGTGGCTGCAATGGAAGAGCGAGGTTAAGTTTCCACATCTAGAAGACAGAAGCCGATTGGAAGATGTAAACTGTAGGGTTTAGCCTCCAAGATCAACCAGTTGTGGTGGACATGGAAAGATGACCACCACGTGGTGTTGCTGTCCCTTGGAGATGGTTTTGTGGCTTTAACCTACCTTTACGTCTTCCAAATGACTTTTTTATTTCTGCACATGCTGTTTTATCAGAACTAAAACATGTGTTTAAAATTACTTTAAACGCCATTGCTTCAATAAATCAGTACACCTTTCAGTTCTGTGAAAGCAATTGGACTGAAACTTGTTAAGGAAAAGAAAACAAACGATAACGTGGGATTAATTCGATCATGGAACATCAAAAATCCATGCAATCATGTTTATTAATCTGTTAGTTTAAACCAATACGCTCAAAAAAATAGGGGCCACGCAGAGTATAACGTTTTCATAACGCATTGAATTAGTATATCAACTCTGTCGCAGCCCGACTGAGGATTAATAATGTTAATACACACTCACACGTTCCAACCATGCAAGATGCTCCTTTGAAGTATTTGTCCGCCCTCAGGAGGTTGTCGTCTTGGTCCTCCACCAGTACTCCCAGTCCTAGGTTCCTGCCTTTGGTCCAAGCTTTGGCCGCTGGTTTGACGCTCAGCTCCACCCATCTAGAGTGCTCCGGGATGACCTTGCTATCGGCCAAACGTCGCCTAACTGCAAGAAACAAATTAATTTAGAAGTCTAGTCGTCAGTTTAGGCTTCTGGATACTGGAGCTAAGGAGCTTCCACGCGGAGAAAACTTATTTCGTTTCAAGCAAATACATCCTCCTAACAAATCTAAGCAAAAAGCAGAAGACGAAATCTGTCTTTCGAAAAACATCCCAAATGGATAAATCTAGACAAGTATCGGGTTGTCATTAACCTAGCACATGTACAACAGGATGATGGCGCTACAAATATCTTTGCCAATGGTCTCAATTTCGCCAAAGCATCCAGGATAACTCCCTGGAAACCACGTGTCGATATTTTCTTGAAGAAGCCGTGAAAGAAGTAAAGGCTGAGGCACCACACGCTTTACAAACGCCAGACCTCCAAAACCGAGTTTGTTAAGGAAAGAAATCCAAGGCGTTAAAGAACTGAGGGAAAATGAAAAAACATACTCCCGGTAACTGTCATCTTGGACATAACAGAATATATATGCATAGCGGATAACATATATAGAATCCAGTGTATAAGAAGATTCGAAACAACCTAATCGAAAAAGTGGCTCAAGAACACTCCAATTTTATGTCCTTCCAAAGATCCACAGTCAACCAAACGCACGTCTCTGACCAATAGGGGGTGCAATTCGATCAGTCACTGATAGACACTGAAGACAAAGATAGATATACCATGTCCAAAAGCTGGAGATTTTATCGACAAGTTTAAGCGATCGAACTAGGTCCAGATTAGATTCTGGTGAGTTTTGACGTGACGTCGTTATTTACAAAATTTCCAATTAAAAAAGCTCTGGAAGAACTTCATCGAAGGTTTATTGCAGAGGACAAGGATTAGAATTTAGTAAACTTGGGAAGTATACACCCAATGGATCTTCTTCATCTTTAGGAATCAGTATTAGGTACGAATTGAAGAAGCAGCTATGAGTAAATATCTGCATGAAAATCTCCGAGAAGTAGTTCTGGAGTCAACAACTGTTGAAAAGTGTTGACTCAGATATGTAGGTGGTACATTTGTTGTCTTGTCCATGGATGTAACAACATAGAAAGACTCCTGAACCACACCAACAGAATAGATCCAGACATCAGCAAAATAAAAAGGTATTGTAACGTTCTTGTCAGTATAAAACCAGGCAACATCCTGGAGAACTTAATTTAGTTTCATTTGAAGAAGAAAGCGATATGTCTCTCAAAACGTTAAGAATCCTAAACCGACGCAACTAGCTATTATTCAATCATTGTGTCTTACCTCGCCTCTTCTTCAAAGATTTGGTGTACCAGTAGATGGACACCCTCAGAAGCCTTTCGTCCTCGGTAGAGTTCAAGTTGTCACAGTCTCCATCCCTAGAATTGAACTGAGTACCGTTGTCTGGCAGCCTGTACAACCTCAAGGTGGCTGTGGCGATGTTGGCGTTCTTGTCGTTGGAGATATAGTCGAAGTTGAAGTTGAAGAACAGGTTCATAACGTGGTCGTCCTTCCAGGCGTCCTGATCCGTGTTCACTGGAAGTTCACCTGCAGAAAACCCTTCATTAAACTATTTCTCTGAGGCAATAGTAAACACCAATCACCGTTTTGTTAACTCGCCCTTCTATAAACTAATTTATGTACTTACAAGAGGGATAGAAGCTGCGTATCTTCTCCGTTATCTCATCGTTGTACAGATTGGAAGAATTGAGGAATTGCGGCATGATCTCGGATATGTTTATAGACATCAACCTGGAGTCGTTGTGTTTTGGCATGGAGAAGTTGCCCCTGCCCAGGTGGTCCATGAGGTTCTTCTTCAGGAACAAGATGAAATTCTCCTTAGTCCTGTGGAGTATTGTGATAGATCAAGACAATTAAAGTCAGGGTTTGGAACAACCATGCAATGTTATGTTATAATTTGATTATTAGGGTGTTCAGAGATGGAAAAAACTTTGTTTAGGGGTTATTTTTGTGGTTACTGTTTTATAAAAGTTTAGTGAACTCAATTGAACTGAAATGGGGCAAAAATTATCCCCCTGTCCCTTTCTTTTAGGAACAACAGTTACGCTAGAGTCATATCAATTTCAAATCCGATGCCCGGAGTTTTCCCACGCCGAATTCCGGGTCGTGAGGTATTTATTCCACGCCTATGAGAAATAAGAATTGTAGCGGAATGCATAGACAATAATTTTCAGAATACGATTTTTTCGCAGGCGACTCAGACCGACGACTATGCAGTCCGGACTTGTTTGCTCGGTGGGACTTGCACCTTTACTTTCTCATTCTAATGTCTAGGTCTAGTGCAGTCCGACGCTAAGGCGGCCCGTACACCACGCGACTTCTCCGCCAAGAACTATGCGACAATCGAAGTAAGTTTCTGCAGAGATTAATTGTATTGGTTGTAGATAGCACGGTACAAAGATGATTTGGAAAATAGTAGTATAAATTCAGGAACTGATAGGACATCGTATTTTGTTTTTTGGATAGTTGCTAACGACCTCCAGCAAATGGTCAAACACTAACACCCTGAAAAAAATTCTTAAACGAAATTGTTTTTTTTGGGAAAATTTGATGAAAATGTGAGTTAAAGTCTTTGACGACTTCGAAAACAATAGACGATAGGCCAAAATGGACTTATTTTTTCAACCTTTAAATGTATGGAATTTTTTTTTTTACAAAACATCCTGTATAAAAACAATTGAATTGATTGAAAGAGGACTGTAATTGCGAAATTAGTTTAGTACAAATAGGATATTTTACAAGAGAGTTAAAATATTTTTGTTTATTTTTAATTTAACTGCAAAATTTTTCAAAATCAATTTGAGTTTGTCATAAAAACTTTCATTACTCTTTTGGCTAAAGTATGATATCTAGCGACATAACTATCAACTTCTGCAGAAAGATTACTGCTATTATTGCAATGTGGACTCAAAATTAACTTACTGGATTTTGACGCTCTTGATCATTAAATATTCGAGTAAATCTTTCTTTTTCAAAATTGGAACTATATGATATGTCCCTTAACTGTGTATTTAGTGTTGACTTCTCACTTTGACCCCTGTTATCATATTTTTTACTTTTGTTTACGAGGTTATATTGGATATACCCAAAATATTGCCAAAATTTCTAAAAAAAGAGTCCAAAAATTAATTTTCTTACATATTTTTATCGAATAAAAAAATCTAAAACGCTCATTGCGATTCTATGCATCATCCGGGGACAATTTACTGCCACAGAATTGGACCGTACCGACTTCGAGTTTCCCGCGTCGTGTGCGGACCGCCTAACGTCGGGCTCAACTTCCGCGTTTATTATTATAGTCAAGTTTCGACTTATAACAAATCTGTTATTAGTAATTAAACAACTGCATATACGGTTTTTTATTATCTCTGTCTAGACTGGATAGGTGTAATGACCTTTCCAGTAATGTCAGAGGTGTACTGGTTCATAAGAATTGTACAGGGTGATCCGCGCAAGGCGTACGGACGCTCATTTTCACATACGCATTTTAACAAGGAAATCTATCACCGATACCGACGATTTTCGGGTCAAATAATGGGTCCGTTTTGTAAAATTAAAGCTGAGGATGAGGGCATTGCGGTCTGATGAAACGTCGTCTGGTACATCACATAATAAAAAATGTAAAAACGTTTTCTACAATATTTTATTGCAGTTTTACTGTAAATAGTGAATACTTTTGTTACATACGAAATTATTAAAGGCATTTTCTTGGGCACGTTAATTTTGTATTTTAATTTTTTTCGACCCATTCTTGAAGAACGTTTTAGGAAGATTCAATTATAGTATTTTATTTGAACTTCTGGACATAAAAAATAAATAGTTATTTGTTTAATTAGGCGTAAATTACAAGATTTAATGCCGCCGCTGGTATTTTTTCATAATTTTTTCTCCGATCAATTTTAATTTTATCATAATAGCAAACAAAGCTATTTATTTTATATTATTAAAATTGTATGATACTTCTTTCATCGATAATAATCATTTCATCAGGTCGTCTGTGGATGCTATGAGACGAGCGTTATTAGGTAAATAACTTACGTAATCGCCATATTGTTCCTACTTAAATCCATAAAAGTACCTAACTATTATTTGAGATTGAGTAATTCGCATTAACTCACCGCCAGAAATTATTGAATCAGCGAAGAAAATAGGGTGTAATTTATTACCAGAAAAATCGAAAAAGATATATCGGCAAACATATCAAAATTTTTTTGATTACCATTCTGAGAATAACATTATGTCTTTTTCAGAAAATGTACTGTTGGTAAATTTTTCTCAATTAAGCAAAAGTATGAAATCTTCTTCATTATGGTCAACATATGTACCATTTAACAACGGTATTATAAGTATAAATACAATTGCTTCCCCTTTAATAGAAATTCTATACCGTTTCTGTCATCCCTCAGTTTGGCTTACCTTGTATATAAAATGTTTCTATTGATTTATTTATTCCGTTTTTTGTTTAAATTTAACTTAATTGTCTTTTAGTGGTAAATTAAACCAAAGTGAAATTTAAAAATTGTCTTTTAACGACACTAACAAGTGACCGTTCACTTTAAAAGAACCATCCTGTATGTAAAAATGTGTATATCAGAGTTATGCAATGTCGGTCTTCATGCATTTCGTGTTGTTCGCCTGTTATATTATAAATAGCATCAACATTTGTTAAACGAAAAACTTGACTAATAAAATAATAAGACGATACGTCCGATTCAGGGCCGGCAACTTTTCTATTGTATTTTTTTGTTCGCGTCTTTATTTTTGGCGCCTAATCAATCACGTATAAAAGAATAACAATGTTATTTCGTGGAGCTGAAAGCTGTGTTTCATTTTAACATAAGTGTGTAGGGATATCTCATGTTTTTTTTACGTAATTATTGATTGTAAATAATTAAACAAACTTGATTTTGTGCCTTTGTTGTGACTTTTAACTGCGCCACTGGTCGATGACGTCCGTTTTACATATACAATATTTTTTATGAATTAAGTTTTTAACAATCTGCGTACTTGCAGTAATCCGCCAAATAATTTCGTCATCCAAACGATAGCCCGTAGATCCTGAAGATCTTCTTACCTACTGATTTTCAAGGTGATCATTTTTCTCCTAAACCTATTACCGCGACAAATACCTATTTATATAGCTGATCGTCTGTCAGGGAGGAAAGTCGTAATAATGAGCTGTAATGGGTAATTCTTCTTTGAAACGTTTAGTTGGATACGCTGCTTGGTTCTTGAAATACCAACTATGGGAAAGTGAGAGGATCGTTTCTGTCTTCATATTCAAAAGTTCATATCGAGTTCGTTAAAAATCCAACGCAGGAGAAATTAGACTTTTCAAAGAATATCGCACCCTTTTCGATACGCCCCTGGCGAAGATATTCTAAATTGGCAAATTGGTCCCATGGCGATCTTGTCTACGTGCAGTGAGAATAGCAAAATAAATGCAAATTAACAAAAGAAATATATGACATGTGTACAGGATGTAACAATGAAAAGGGGTCATACTTATACGGATACTTTTTTTAGTTTCCAGAACCACATAAATTTCTTCTGAAAATTCAATTTTTTCCAACCTTTTTTCGTAATTTTGCCGGTCTAGCGCCATGTTGTCATATCACATCAGATGGATTGACCTCAACTAGGTCAATGTCAAAAGTCACTGACATTGAGATTCATAAACTAAGAACAAGGATTTAAAAATAATTTCTATTAAAAACTTGAAATGATTTGAAAAAATATTATCGTAGTTTCATTTTCTGCCACTCTCTTAGTTTCATATACAGATAATAATGGGCTTTGTCATAAAAACTTATTTCGAAATCTCAATCGTTTTCGAGATACAGGGTGTTAATAATTAAAAAAAAAATCATTTACTGTAAATATCTTCTGAAATAATAGAGGTATTTGAACTAAATTTGGCGTACGTTATATTGGGTTGAGTTTCTATAAAATGTTGTATAAGTCTTTCCGAAGTCAGTTGAACATGTATAAAAACGCCTAGCAACAAAATTTCATAGGCGTCCCTAAAAAAGTTTTCTGCTAAAGGTAAAAAATTATAATAATTTATATATAATGTGTAGAACATTTCTATTGTATGTTCATTTGGCAACAACATATTTTAATTATTTATGTCATCAAACAATTTTATTATATTGATGGTAAATTTCGTTTTGTTCCGTTTCAAAAGGTCTCCAAAATTCCATGCTGTAATAATATTAGTAAATAAAATCTTATTTCTCCTTTTCGCAATTGTAACATTAATGATTAATAGAAGATAGAAGGTGCCTATAATAAATTAAAATTGCCTGAATTACACCAAATTCCGCATTGCTGCACTGCACTGCTAGGCAATTTATGAGCTACTTGTCAACAGCTGAGATTTATTGCCTAGTCGCCCAGTTCGGCTGTCTGTGTACGCCGTTTGCCCGCGCGCGCATTCTTCAACTGGGCGTATACATTTCTACCACCTCAACGTTTCGTTCGACCAGACCTGTATATGCTGCGTCAGCGACCGAATNATTTATAAACTGCGTTATTATTACCAGAACGTTTTGGCATCGCATCCTCTCATTCCTTATCACTGTCTAATAAGACACACGAAATCTGGAATCGGTAAGTTGAATAGTTTACAAATTATGGCCTTATAAACAAATTAACTAATTATTATTAGTCTGGAGTATCTGGACGATCCCTAGTATCTTCCACAATCGCACTGATTTTTTTCATGGTAGATTTTATAATAATACATAGAAATCTATAATTTTTTTTAAATTTCAAGTTTGTAACCTGGAAAGTTTTTTTATTTTTTAACCTTAGTTTCAAAA